ACAGCACACTAACAGCACACACAGCAGTGTGTGTGTGTGTATGTTTATATATATATATATATATATATATATATATACATACACACACGCGCGTTGCGTGTGTTTGTGCTTTAGGGTGCACACCCTAATGCAATAGGCTGCGCACGCCTATGGCCATTACAGAGAACATCTCTGAAACATATCAGACTGGTCCCACCCATACGGGCATTCCAGATCCGAAATGCCAGCATGTTCCCTCTGTGCCCTGTTTTTTGCTCTCCACAAGTTAAAAGGTTAATCCAGACGTGGACCCCTTAGTCACGGTGCCTAGAGAGATATCAGCTCTGCCTAACTGATGCCTAACAAGGCTGAAACGATCGTCTGGGGTTGCTGTGTCTCTCATGCAGAGGGAACTTGCTGGCATTTCAGATCTGGACTGCCCATATGGGTGGGACCAGTCTGATATGTTTCAGAGATATTCTCTCTGTAATGGCACAAGAGGAGCTAAAACCAGCTTGACATCTGAGCGGGGACCCACCGAAGGGCAGGCTATTTCAGCTGCTGCCCTTTCTCCGTATTCTCTTGCGCCCTGTTTTTGTTCCTGCCATGTATACTTTAAACCGCTTGGTTGAGACAAGTATAACATTTAAACTTCAATAGACGTGCAATTCGTTTAGGTTAGAATTTAAATTCGGACGCCTCCGAATTTCAGAAGTGCCAAACCGAATTGACGAATTTCAGAAGTGCCGAAGTGCTTCGGATTTCTGAAAAGTGGCAAAACAGGAGAGGGAGGGAAAAATTAAGGGAATGATGACAGGAATCTAACCCTAACCCTAGTCCTAACCCTAGCAGGGTTAGGTTAGGGTAAGGGCCAGGGAATAGGTTATGGGTTAGGTTATGGTTAGGAAATTGCAGAAGTCCCGAACCTAATTTTTTGCCCATGTCCTAAGGACAGAGGGTACTATAGAGCTAGGTGTACAACTTTCCCTTTAAAATTATTTTTCTTAGCAAATAAATATGGGCATTCAGTTACACCATATAGCAAAATGGTTTAACTGAATCTACGTGTTTGTTTGCTAAGATAGGTGATATTTAATTAGTCTTGTAAAATTTTATTGTGTGTGTGTGTGTTGGTCCCTGATCTGTATTTTACACCCCAAAAATAGGGTGTCACAGTCCTCCAAAATAAATGAAGTATCCCTCCAAAGATATTGTCAATCCACTTTCTATTCAATACCGCTAGCATATTCTTGGCTAGGAATATAAAAAAAAAAAAAAAGTCAGAACCAATGACACAATATTGCATTTGTTGACTTTTTAGTTATTGGAATGTAGAGTAGCAGATTTGTAGATAAGTTCTGGGAACATTCTTATTGATTTTGGAAAGGCTCTGCTGATTACATATACAATGCTTGTAAATGTGGGCCGACTACACATATTGATGCCTACTTCACAAGAGTCACCATACATAAACACCCACATCTCTCATATTAATGGCATTCATTTCATTAAGGAAACTGATATTGATTTTTGCTGAGGGAGTGCCATTTAAATATTTCATGTATAGTCTTTGGAATTTTGGTGAAGGAATCATGTTGTACTTATTGTGTGTTGATATGTATCCTTTTCATTAAGGAAACTGGAGTTGATAAACTCGTTATAATAAATTACAACAAATATAGCAATAAAATAAAAAAGATTCTCCACCTTTGAAGGGTTAAAGAGATGGACAGATGAGAACACTTGTGTGATAGAGACTGAAGATTCATGCACAGCCAGACTGAATTAATCAAATATGATCTAGCCCAACGGTTCCCAAACTGCGTGCCGGGCACACAGGGGAGTAGCAAGTTATTTTCCAGTGCTATGATGAATGATGAGGAACGGAGGGTGGGAGATAGGACGCAGGGGAGCTCTAACCTGAAGGTCCGCCGGGCTCTCCTCTTGCAAGCACGGAGTATCGCCGCAGTTACTACAGCAATGCTCCAAATCTCGCGAGAGTGAACTCTAGCAGCTCCTGAGGCTACTAGAGTTCACTGTCACCACCAGGGCTTCCCCACCAGGGATTGCAGGAAATGCCCCCCCTCCCAGGCAAAGGTAAGCAGGGAGGGGGGGGGGAAATCATTTTTATTTTTTAATTTAAAAAAAAAAAAGTATGTTTATTAATTTGCCCTCCTACCCCCACAATAGTTCCCTCATACACACAATTATCTCCCATACACACATAGTACCCCTCATGCACAAACTGCCCCACATACACACAAACACACTGCAGCCCCTATCCCGGCAGACCCCAGGTAAGTTGTCAAACTGTTCTTAAACAGTTTGACTAATTACCCTTGGAGGCAGGGCCGGATTAACATAGGGGCTGATGGAGCTGCAGCTCCAGGCCCAGGCCCATGGAATAGGCCCATTTAAAAAAAAAAAAAAAAAAAAAATCTTTTTACACACTGGTATTTTAATGGCACAGACGGTATTTGAGGCTGCCTGGCCTTGCCAGTATTGCAGTAATACCAGCAATACAAATGCAGGTATTTTTCTCAGAATAAATGGAAATTACTCTGCAATACCAGCACCGGCCAGTAGGGGTCACTGTGTGTGGAGAGAGGCAGGGATAGGAAGTTACAGAATATCCCTCCCTGCCTCTCTCTACTACTCACTGATCCGTGGGGGAGCAGCTACACAGCACAGAGTCCAGACAGCAGCTCTACAGCTCAGGTAAGTGAGGGATGGGGGGAAAGGCAGCAGGGACACATGGGAATACTGAGACACTAGGGGACACATGGAGACACTAGGGGACATATGGGGACACTGAGACACTAGGGGACACAAACACTAGCACGGAGACCTGGGAACACTGAGACACTTGGGGACACATGGGGACACTGAGACACTAGGGGACACATGGGGACACTGAGACACTAGGGGACATATGGGGACACTGAGACACTAGGGGACACATGGGGACACAGACACTAGGGGACACATGGGACACAGAGACACTAGGGGACATATGGGACACTGAGACACTAGGGGACATATGGGACACTGAGACACTAGGGGACACAGACACTAGGGGACACAGACACTAGGGGACACATGGGACACTGAGACACTAGGGGACACAGACACTAGGGGACACATGGGACACAGACACTAGGGGACACATGGGGACACATGGGGACACAGACACTAGGGGACACAGACACTAGGGGACACATGGGTACACTGAGACACTAGGGGACACTGGGACACATGGGGA